GAAAAAGGATCAACATGCTCTGAAGTCAGAGCACAAAAACCTTTTTGTAACAAAATATCGATTTCTGCTGTCCCTGTATCCATACATTATTAGCAAACAAAATATCACCATGCTACACAGTATCCATTTTTTCCCCCACCCCCTAATGGCTCATGCACCAGGTGTTTCACAGGTGATCACACTCAGCGTGCTAATTGGTGGAGGGCTCCACCTGCTGGCCATCTTTCTCGGAGCTGATAACACTAAACACACCAGAACATTTACTGCTGTCTGAAATGTTATTGGGTTACTGGGTTGTGTCACACCCCTCGGGTGTGTCACACTGGTTGCCGTGGAACACACTGTACTCTCTCTGCTCTGTCTGACTGGAAATGCTTGTTTGCGTCACCCGACACCTGAGACATCCTCCCCTCAGTCAGCCCCACCCACCCCTGGCCCTGGGGGGAGGTAGGGTGTGGAGAACTAAGCGCTCCCTTCGCAGCGGTACTCTTTGCTGACTCTGCTCTCATCAGGTCCGGGCTGGGGGCCTCAGCGTTCACACAGTGTGGTTAATGATTGAGGGGTGGGGTGGGGGGGTGTCACTCATTGACCGCAGGAACTTTTACACCCACAGACAGAATTAGGGTGGCGGGACTTCACTGTCACTCCACTGGGACTCTACTGGGTTCGACTCAGAGGACGTTGAAGGAGACTTTTAATCTGCTGGAGACAATCTGAACGTCTTCCTTTCCTTCTTCTGTCCTTCTGCCTCCCAGCTTCACCTGGCCGATCTCCACCCCTCATTGGGGGAGGGCTGAGTGCCCCTGGATACCTGATCACCTGCGGTCCAGGCCACACTTTTACCTTTGTTTCTGCTGTTGTGAAGCAGCTGACTGCTTCAGGTTTGCACCAGAAGCTCCAGGATCAGCCACCGTGGTGAAGCTGCAGCGATGGCTGCTGGAAAGCAGCGGGACAGCCGGGGGGTGCCGCCGGATGGCGGGTGGGGGTGGGTGATTGTTGGATGCTGCTTCATGGTGACGGTGTGCACGCGTGCAGTGACCAGGTAACGCACACACGCACATCCATATACTGGAGTGAGGGATCGTGGACGTCCACACCAACACTGCACACAGCCGTGTTAGTGTAGCTGCAGATGTCTGTTAGACTGGCTGTTGTATCGGAGTTTACTGATTTGTGCAAACATAAAAGAGACTTCTGTTGTTTTGCTTTGGGTTCATTATGGCCCTGATACACCTTTAAAGAGGCACCTGAGTGTGTATGTGGACATGTTTAAAGAGACATTTTCAGAAACAAAATCTTCAGTGAAAGAAGAATCAAAGACAGACAACATTCCTGTGACTCAGGCGCCACATGACTCCATGACTCAGTAACGAGGACTTCAGGCCAATTACAGCGATTGGCAAACTGCCTTTAACCATTCAACAGAAAACGGTCCAGAGATCTTCCCTAAAATTAAAACCAGTCTTCTCACTGTGACGCAGCAGCATGTTTCTCTCTGTTACACACGCAACAAAAAAGGAACATTGTGTACTACTTTTAAAAAAACCTGCTGGAGAAACATCTGCCAATTACTGAGGTTAATTATAGGGATGGGTACCGGTATCCGGTGCCATGATGGCACCGGTTCTGACATAAACGGTAGTAACCAGACCGAAAAGCAGCGCACATTTC